TAGCAATCAGATAATTGAAAGAGCTGTGGAACCAGAAAATTTGGACATGACAAATTACAACTCGCATAAATCATCAATCAGGCATCAATCATTTGCCCCTAGACAATTATTGTTCATATATAAGAATCTGAAGTTTCCTTATTTTCACAGCTATTATCTGCTCAAAAGGTGGACAAAACTTGAGGAAAATGAAAAGGGCCCTGACCGAAGTACGAAAATTCCACATAAGGATGTTTTCATTTTGAATGGAACCTGCTGCTAACCGCATCATAACTTGGAACATAAATAACTGTAATACAGAGTTAAATGAGGATAAAGAATGATGAAAATGTCATGTGCATAAAAGGAATATCAATGGAGAAAAGGAGTTTGTTAGGCCAGAGTTTTTACCGTCTCCATAAGATGCCATTGTGAGAGGAGATGATAAAAGCTTCTCAGCAGCGGAAGCTATATCCTTTGCTGTAACTTCATCTACAGCCATCAAGAAATGTTCGACTGGTTTCCTGGAGATGCAAAAGCAAACACATTTTATATTTGGCCTCTGTTTGGTGAAAATTAAAATCCAGATTTTAATCCAAGTCAAAGTCAACAATTAATTACGTATTCAAGAACAAGTTGACAGTATAATGACCGAAAAATTGCAACAGATCCAATGATACGATATTGTAAGTTTTTAAATTGATTATTTTAAAAAAAATAGACAATTTTTAAATTTATTTATTTCAAAAAAATTGTACACGAAATATTTTATTCATGTACAATTTTAACTCCGCTTACGTTGATTGTAGTCGATCACATGCCCGAAAAAATAAGGGTTCTAACTTTTATTTAATTTATAATTAGTATAAATTGCACAAATTTTAAATTTTTTAAAAATATTTTAAATGTCATAAATAAAATAAAAAAATAGCGAGCTGGCTCGCTAAGGCCAAAGCCAAAAGCTCGAGTTGAGCCAAGATTTTTTGGCCGAGCAAAAGCTCCGCTCGTGTGGGGTCAGGCCAAAAAAAGCTCGAATCATTTTTACTTAAGTCGAGCTTGAGTTTCAAATTCCGGCTCGGCTCGTTGACAACCCTACACTAGATTCAGGTGAATTAAGGTCTCAAAGGTAGCAGTGAAGTTCTGGCAATGGTTTTACAAATAGTGAGAGGTGGTGTAGGGAGGAACGCATGGTGACATATTTGCTGGTTAGGATGTATTTCTGATCCTTGGTGGAGGATCACCTGAGCTCCTCCAGGAATTCGATAACACTTCAATCAGTATATTCTATTAAGCAGTTATCTCTTGGAAAGCTTCAAAAAGGAAGAAGGAAAACATTCAATTTATGGCTCAGTTGCAATGTTTAAAAATTTATCCATTTCCCAAACATTTCTACAAAGTAATTTTATAGTACAAAATTCTTTTCAGCTAACAGTAATTAATGATCTTACCTCCCTCCATATGTCAAAAGCTGTTTACCTATGTCTTCTGAAGCAACCATCTGTAACAGACATGTAAACAGTAAACACATTATACAAAACATCTAAACAAAAGGAAATGTCCTGAACTTCTAATAAAAGATAATATTTTGAGTTTTTTTCTTTTAGTTTCTGGACAGAATTTAGAGCTAGAAGGATGTAAGAACATGTTGCATACTCTGGATTCCAGGTTCATCAATATAGCAGATTTTGTTGCTTGTTTAGCACGATTCATCTGTACCTGGTCAACTGCATGGAGAACAGGAAGCAGACAAAGAAATTGCAGAACCAACTTTAGAACAACTTCATATGAGCGAGATACCTAGATTTACTATCTGGAATATTTTTTGAAGAAAACTACTTGGAATATTTTCTAAACCTGAATGTGAAAAGCACAAGGGCACGTAAGGTGTTGTTTGGTAATTTGTACGCATTGATGGAAGAATACGAGAGGGAGGGGCTAGAAAAATGTTGAGAAGTTTTTCCAAAGAATAAAATATTTATTCATTACACAGGAATATGAAGGATGTTTCAGGATCAACGGCCATCAGAATTCAGAAACAAGAATATGTGAACAGATAATGAAAAAGCTCCAAACAAAATACAACAGTACTCAAGCTTAAAAGCCTATAGCAAACCTTCTCCTGGAGTGGCAACCGCAATGAGTTCTTTAACTGCTATGTCAATTGCTTTTGTTACAAAGTCAGAACCCTGAATTTAAAAGGTAAGCTTCATCACTAAGCTATCCAATAAATACTCAACAAGGAGAATAAAAAGGCATAAGCTGGTCAAATATGAAGATTAACGGCTAGCATGGTCACTTCAAGGTGAAATAGATTTTCCTTTTTCCTTCCTTTATAATCTACCATTGTTCTGTTAAACAGAATTGCAATATTCACGAGGCCAACAAATACACAATAAACAATATACATAAGTTTGTATAGATGACAAATATAGCCTTGTTTGGTCTCCATTATTTCCAAAATACATTTTTCTCCCTTATTTTCAACCACACATTTTTCAATGAAATAATATTATACGCAAACCCAAAAATTTTCCTTATTTTTTAACCATACATTCTCCATCAAACTATTCCAAAATGCATTTTTTGTCAAAAAAAAAAGGTTGGGGGTCAAACAAGCTTATAAACCCCTTAAAATAAGTTTCATTAATTTAAAAGGGTGAAGTGCAGCAGGAGATAGCAATTTCCAGATAATGGATTTTTAAACCTAATCTACAAAGAACGGTGGGATTACCTAATCAATCATGTTCATTACAATTTACGTCTTTAAGGGCCTGTTTGAAACCCATTTTTTGCCCAAAATGCATTTTAGAATAGTATTTTGATAAAGAATGTATGGTTAAAAAATAAGGAAAAGTTTTGGGTTTGCGTATAATATTATTTTATTGAATAATGTGTGGTTGAAAATAAGAGAGAAAAAAATGTATTTTGAAAATAATGAGGACGAAACAATGGCTAAATTATTTCAAGTATACCAAAACGAAAATCAGGAACAATACACTAAACCACTCGAATAAAGAGGGCAATCCATGCATCAGCAAAATCACAGTGACATACCAAACTAATTACTAACATGGAAATAATAGATCTAAAATCCATTAAAGCTTTAAGTGGATCATATATAAAATAGACCAAAAATCTAACCACATTATAAATGTACATCATAACAAACACAGAATGTTCACAAAATTAAACAGGTGCCTTACAGTGGTAGCTTGAATTCCAAATAATCCGGTATGATTGTAAATGCTGTTGAATGCAGAAAATGACTGAATCTGGGGATACTCGTTCAGGACTCGGAGATCTGCAGACCATCCAGCAATTAGCAGATGGTAATCAAGATGGAGAAGTGAGGAGTGCAAAATCAAGCTCAGGGCTTCTGTAATAGCAAGCATAGATTAATTAAGAGATGCAATAAATGTTACTAGTTATTGAACCAATACATGTCTTTTAGCTCCTTCGTGTGAATGCAGACAGATGTCTGTTCTTACACATTTGTAGTGAAATGAATATCATGCATATATACGGAAGACAGTGCTTCCTTTCTTCAAGAATCATATTTACCTACTAGACTGATTATGTACAATAAAGGCAACTCACATAGTCTAGAGTACATCCCCTTCCCAGGACCACCAGCTGAGAAAGATCCACCCCCTCCCATAAGCATCTATAGGATCAATACAATCAGCATATCCTTACAAGATGGCTTACAAACAAAAACAAATTCGTAAAAGAAATGAGAACGAACAATACAGAACAAGCAATTGTGTGATCTATAGTTGACTGATGTATTCGATAGGAAAGAAATTTAAGCATACTACTTGTTAAGCCATGTGTCAATCCGTGGTATGTACAATCTTATTTAAGGCTTATAATAACTGAAAAGAAGAACCTGGAGCAATGTCAAAACTATTGCATCTTTTTCCTTGACCCAACCACCAGGAAGTTCAAAGGCAAGAGCGAAATGAGTTGTCTGCCCAAAAGTGGGAAAAGAATATTTATTGCCATATTTCAGATCAATGTTCAGAAATGAGCGCTAATGTAAAAAATGAAATACTTGTGGTACACACCCCTGAATCAGCTTGATGACGATAATCACCCCCTACATAAACTGGCTTTGGCTCAGCTGGACGTGGTACATTAGGTAGGTCAGATAGAAGTGGTTCTGCATATTTTAATAGCTCATCATGGTCAACACCTGATGCAGCAAGGACCATCCGAGAAGCAGTATAGTTTTCCTGTACAATGAAGATACCATTCAGGAGAAGAATGACTGTTAAATGTCAAAGGACGGGAATGGAAAGGGGTTGGAGTCCCAAAAAGTAAGAAGGATGGTAAAAGTAAAGGAACAAAAGATAAATGTTTGGGTCTCACAGCAACGAACTCCTCCAAAACGGCACTGTTCAATCTGTTCACAGCAGATTCTGAAGCCAAAAGAGCATTCCCATAGGGACCAGAGTAACCAGCAGAATGAATAGCCTCCAAAAGCAAGTGTTGTGGGTTTTTAGAGCATTCACTAACCTCAGCACTCACCTTATGGAGCTGTAATGAACATTACGATATTTATACACACATTCAAAAGAGCAAAAAAAAAAAAAAAGAGCACTGACTCNCCATTTGAGGAACATAGGTCTTCAGAGCATCATAGGTGTAACCCATATGTTCCCTAGAGGCGGAAGCCATGACATTGCCACCAATTGCCTCAACTTCTCTAACAAGACGCAAGTGGCTCCGGTTAGTTGTGCTTTTGAAGGCCATACGTTCCAGGAGATGTGTGGCACCAAATGACACTGGAGTTTCATATATTGAGCCACAATCGACATATAACCCAATTGAAGCTGCTGGGTTCTGACAAACAAAGTCAGAAATCAATACTTTGTTCAGAGTAATAATATATGCAGTTCTTATTCTTTTCAAATGAAGAGAAAAATATGCAGCATGTTTGGCTAGCTTAAAATGTATTTATAAGAACCTTTTAAGCTTAGCCAAACATGCTAATGGTTATCACATACCGCAGACGTTTCAGATGCAATTTTGAGACCATTGGGAAGAGTCGTTATAGTGGTCTTCCCAGGCTCAACAAAATCAGGCAGTGGAGGTGGAAGTGTAACATCCTTGAGTGGGAAGTCTAGAGGAGGAAGTGACGAAGAATGTTCGCCAGTCAACCAGCTAAAGAAACCCCCTGACGATGTCTTGGTCGCAACAGCACTCGTACTTGTAAATCTAGTCAATCCCCTATTACTTGTTCGGTCCTATCACACGATTCAATGTTTAAAAAAAACTTCAAATCGATGAGACCATGTGATAGTTTCTAGCAAGGATCAGGAATGTCATCCTGTAAATATCAATTGTCCAATTTAAAAGCACGAGACTCTGCTCTCATATATGGAATCCAAAGAATCTTCATTATGCCCAAAACAAACTTTTATTTTTCGAATTACAACTTCATGTTGCAACATTGCTATGTGCACCTCGTTCAAATAAACCCCAAAGCTTCCAGTTTTACTGTAGCAAATGAACCATACAAAAATTTCGTTCTAAATATAACACATTTTCTACCTGCTCCCATATGTCATAGAATAAAGCATCAAGGCAAAAGTTCATTTTTACCACAAGCAACAGCATGTTGATTACAAAGTCACATTGAACAAGATATCAATCATCGAAATGTGAAAATTACATTAGTGCTATTTCATAAGAGACCAACATCATATCCAAATAAAAAATAATCGATATATACATATACATAACGACGTCGATATATGTAGGCATATGTATACGTTTGGAATGCTAACCTTAAAAGTCCTGAGGCGAGAAGCTGCGGCTCTGTACATGGCGATGATTTGATGAATTGTAATAGTGAGAAAATGAGTGTTAGGGGTTTAGGTTTTGGGGTTTTAGGGAGAAATGAACACCGAACGAGGATCCTATCACGTGCAAGAATTTATCCCCACACGTGAGAGTTTTTAACCGTTGGATCCACAGAGACGGAGCCTCGTCAATGCTTGGATCATCGATGTGATGTACTTCCAAGTTCCAACTCAACCAATAAAAATGGAGAAAAAATTTAATAAATTAATATTTTGCTATATGGTTCAATTGATTTTAGAAAGGGAAAAATTCATAAATAAGAGGATAAGTATTTCCTATTTCAAAATTAAAAAAATAAGTTTGGAATTTCAAAAATCAGATTTTTATTAAGATCTATTTATGATTTAATTAATTAAATATATTAAAGTCACAGAAATATACAATTTAGTCACAGATTCACAATTTA